CTTTGGTGACCCCAAAGTATGCGGTCAAACCAGTCATACCAACAGGACCCAAATATGAAGTTAAAGGCAAGCCTAAAGACACATCAATTGTCCTTGTAATACGTTCTTCATTGACAATTACATAGTCTTGCCACGTAAAACGGCCGGTTACTTTATCACCAACCGAATGCTTGCTTGATTTAGAAAGCACAACTTCACCTAGCCCTAACGTAATAATCGGGTCATTCTCCAAAATTCGTAAATACATTCTTTCGGCATCAATTCCTTTCTGCATCCATCCCCTCTGACCTGGATCGTTAGACAAATACAACATTTTAATAACTACCTCTCCGTCTTTAACGGAGTTCTCATCGAAAGATACTTCTTCAATTCTAAAAGTTGACGATTCTTCACCATAGTTAAAGTTCACTTCCTTTATTGGTGCCTTATTTAAAACGATTCTATTGTAGCTTGATGGGATAGACATGACGTAACGTACATACAAGAATAAAAGGAAGTGAATTTTTATGAATCAATATTCTTTATATAGCAGCCAAATTTCTGCAGGAGTCGGCCGCATATTTAGTAAGTTTCGAACTTTCCAATATACAAGTCAATTGACAGACATATCTTTGATAAACCTTTTAACAAACATATAACTTGTCTTAATAGCCATACTAATGGTTTGATTCATTTAGCTATTAAAACCTATTATTTTAATCAGAAAGGAAGAAAAACTAGCTAAGCAATCATGTCTCAAAGGCATTTCAGGTCAAACATGCCAATTTATTATTAGAAATCTTTAGTATCCTAGCGACAAGGTAGAATACTATTACAATTAAGAATATTGATTAATCAAATGAACTTTTTTATTCATAATATATATAAGTATGACTAGCAAAGTAAGCTACTAGAGACCATTTAAGTCTAAGCAATCTTAGTAATTAACTTACCGTTTGGCTTATTGCTACCAAATAACAAGTTCCATGTTTCTGGAACCTTGGTCAAAACATCCTTTTCTTTACTCAAGTCAATTACGGATGTACCTTCGGTAATTTTAATTTTACCTTCCTTAATTGCACCGACAATGGCGGCAACACCTTCGGCGTAGTCTTTAACAAAATCAAGAATGATAAAACCACGAACAGTAAGACGGTTTGTGATGATTTCAGACCAGCTAGTGACGACAATCTTAGATCTGTCATTGTAACCAGCAATTGCACCACAAGCAACAACATGACCGAAAGGCTTGACCTTGGAGAGCATGAAACTCAAAATTTCACCACCAACATTATCGTAGTACACATCAACAAAATCATCACCAATGATATCAGATAATTGCTTTTGGTAATCTGCATCATTATAGTTGACACATACATCGGCACCGATAGATTCAACCCACTTACATTTTTCAGCAGAACCAGAAATACCAATAACTTTGG